GGCCTCGTTATCTATGCAATAGGTCTCATCTGTGTTTTCTACAAGTTGGTGCACTGACAGGGTGGCGTTGTAGGGCTCCACCACGGTGTCTGACACCTTGGGTGAGGGCACCACGCTGAAGGTGTTCATGATGCGGTCGGGGTACTCCTCTCGGATCTTGCTGATGAGGAGGGTCCCCATCCCGGACCCAGTCCCCCCACCCAGGGAGTGGGTCAGCTGGAAGTCCTGCAGGCAGTCACAGCTCTCCGCCTCCTTCCTCACAACATCCAGCACGGAGTCAACAAGCTCCGCCCCTTCTGTGTAGTGCCCCTTAGCCCAGTTGTTCCCGGCACCACTCTGACCGAAGACGAAGTTGTCCGGCCTGAAGATCTGCCCGAAGGGCCCCGAGCGCACAGAGTCCATGGTGCCGGGCTCCAGATCCACGAGCACAGCTCGGGGCACGTACTTGCCACCGGTGGCCTCGTTGTAGTACACGTTGATCCGCTCCAGCTGCAGATCGCTGTCCCCATGGTAGGTGCCGGTAGGATCGATGCCATGCTCGTGGCTGATCACCTCCCAAAACCTGGCGCCGATCTGGTTGCCGCACTGGCCTGCCTGCAGGTGCACGATCTCCCTCAGCGGCGGCGGCGGCGGCGGCGGCGGCAGAGGCAGAAAGTCGGAGGCGAGGGCCTACGAGCTGGCGCGCAGAGTGCTCCACAATATTTTGTCTACAGAATTTTTATGATTTTTTTCTGTTGGCACTTGAATTGAACATTTTCTTGTCCCTGTATTACCTGTAGGTTCTTTGATATATTTTGCTTTCTGCAAAATAGTAGCTGCAATAGTGCCTTGGATACAGCAAGATTTAAAGAATTATAAGAAAGCTTTGAAAAATTCAAGCTTTACAGAGAATTCTGTAGAAAAAAAATCTCTATAGAGAAAAATTCCAGTACAGTATATCTCCAAGAGTTTTCAAAATTTCATAAGACAGTTAAGGTTTGTGAAAGAGTATTACAAAGGGAAATAAAGAAACGCAGAGAAGAAATGTCTAGACACCAGGAAGATGTGAAATAGGAATGGAGGAAACGCTAGAAAGAAATTGAAGAAGTCATTTCTTCAGCGAAAACTCTAAGAAGTCAAAGGAAAATGACTAATACAGAAATCATTGGAAAGGACATAAAGGATAGATATTTAAAAAGGAAAATAAAACAAAAATTTTAAGTGAGATTAAAAAGTTAGAAAGAGATGAGTATAGAAAACTAATAAAGGAGACTCAGTCTATGATAAACAGAGCCTCTAAGATGATAACCAAACATTGGAATAGAAGAAATATTTAAGATTATAATTTAAATAAACTTCACTGAAATGAAAGAAAACCTTACTCTACATATTGAAAAGACATCTCTTACACCTGGGAAAATGGATTTAAAAAATAGTCAATTCCAAAACATATTTTAGTACAATTATGACACTTTTAAGATAAAGAATCCTCAGGCAACCAGCTCTTCCTCCCCCTCCCCTCAAAAATCAAGGAAGTGACAAGGAGGAAAAATCAGGTTGGCATCAGTCTGACAGCAACATTCAAAGGCATAAAATAATAAAAGAACAGCTCAGGAAACTCAAAAATATAAAGGTGAGTCAAGGATTTGTTTTCAGCCAATCTGTACTTTGAGTATAAGGGCTTCAAGCAAAAAGTTCAGAACATAAAGAAATTCCGGGAATGTTGTTCCCATGAACTCTTCCTGGGGAAACTGCTAGAACAGGAGCTTCAGATAATCAAAAAAGGGTTGAAGTAACCTCGGCGAAAGGACTAGTAAAAAGCACTAAGTATATATTTACTATAGAACTAAGATCAAAATGTGGGGTTAAAGGTGGTAAAACAGTATGTAAATTAATATACTCTAATAATGTGGAAATAACTACCAATAAATGGGAGATGGAAGAGGAAAGTGAAAAGTATAATAAATTCCTGATTTTCCCTGAGGAACAGCTAGGAGAAAAGGAATTGAATATTAAGCAGATCTGTCAAATAGTAGGTGTTTAAGCCTATTAAAGAAGACAAAAGATAGACTAAGAAAGATAATACTGCTGATAAAATAGTGTTATTGGAGGGTGGAAAAGAGGGAAGGAAGAAGAGAATAAATGCTACAACTTAACTTTCTTGTTGTTTAGACTAAGGAACAAAAGAGACTGTCTAAAGAAAGAGAGGGCTCAGGGCACATGTTACTTTGAGGTATTATCAGAATGGAATATGTCCTATGATGAGAGAGAAAGAAAGAGAAGGAACAGACTACATACTAAAGGGCATAAAAGAGTGTGACAGGTAAAATAATCTGACAGACCTAGGCCAAACATATCAGTCATGTTAATAAATATAAATGAGCTTAATGCCCCCTTTAAAGAAAAAACTATAAATTGACTCACCAACAAAACCCAACTCTACTCTGTATACAAAAGAATGAGCTAAAATAAAGGAATTCAGAACAGTTGAAAATGAAATGATGGGCAAAGGCATGGAGGCTAATGCGAACACAAGGATGTGATCTTTATATCAAACAAGTTGGTGATGGAACAAATGGATATCTACCTTCCAAAGAATGAACTGGGACCCCTACCTCAGACAATATTGAAAATGAACTCAAAATGTATCAAAGATCTTAACGTAAGAGTTAAAACCATAAAACTCTTAGAAGAACAAAGGGAATAAATCTTCATGACCTTGGATTGGGCAATGGCTTCTTAGATATGACACCAAGAGCTTTGTCAACAAAAGAAAATGTAGATAAATTGGACATCATCAGATTGTAAAACATTTGTACTTCAAAGGACATCATCAAGAAACTGAAAAGACAACCCACAGAATGGGAGAAAATTCTTGCAAATCATAAATCTGATGAGAGATGATTATCTAGAATATAAAAAGAAAAATTACAGCTCAATAATAGAAGACAACTAACACAGTTTTAAAATGAGCAAAGGATCTGAATAGACATTTATCCAAAGAAGACACACAAATCAGCACTAAGCATATAAGAAATGTTCAACATCATTAGCCGTTAGGGAAATGCAAATCACAAAGTGCCATTTCACATCGCCTTCGATGGCTAGAATCAGTAAGCCAGATAACAAGAGTTGTCGAGGACGTGGAGACACTGGGACCCTGATAAACTGCAAGTGGGAATATAAAATGGTTCCGTTTCTTCGGAAAATGGTCTGGCAGTTTCTCAAAAGGCTAAACAGAGAGTTTGCATATGACTCAGCAATTTCACGTCCAAGAGAAATGAAAACATGTGTCTACATAAATGTTTGTACATAAAGCTTCACAGCAGTATTATTCATCATAGACCAAAATAGAACATGACCCAAATATCCATCAACTGGTGAATGAATCAATAAGATCTAGCACATCATGCAATGGAATGGTATTTGACAATTACAAAGAAGTGAAGTACTCATACACTACAACATGGATGGACCTTGAAAACATTATGCTAAGTGGAAGAAGCCAGACTCAAAGGCTAACATATTGTATGATTCAATTTATATGAAATTTCCTGAATAAGCAATGTAGATCAGTGGCTGTCTAAGTCTGGAAGAGATGGGCTAGTGGGGGTGACAGGTAACCCATCAGCAGTGTGTCCCCATGAGCAACACACAGGAGGGGGAGAGGGTGAGTGACTCCTTGAGGGGCCAGAAAGAGGAGGGCCTGACAGAGACACTGGGATGCAGTGATCTCTGAGGGCATCACCCTCCACCTGGCCGGGGCAGGACTCAGCACACTGGGCTGCATGCCAGGCTCTGCCGGACATCAACACAGGCTCAGAGCAAGACCCTCCTAAGTAAAGAGCATTTCCTGCCAAGTCACACAGCAAAGCAGGTTTCTGCCAGAGCCTCCCTGCTGAGGAGGAGGACGATGTTGGGGGCAGGACAGTGCTAAAGGAAGAGAACTTACGCTCAGTGGGTCCTAGACCCAGGAACATCCCTAAACCTCTTTAGAGACACTGGAAGCAGACATTGTGCCAATGAGGAAAGTGAGGCTGGAAGAGGCTGAGTGAGGTGCCCCAGGTCACACACTGATGAGTAGCAGAATCTGCCTCTGCTCTTACCCCTGTAACTCCTGGTGCCGGGCACTGGTGTCCTGTACTTTGGAAGGCAGAAAGGCCAGGTAGAGCTGATGTTTGGGCTTAAATAGCTTCCTACTGGCCAACTCGCTGTCCATTCTGACTCTCTCTCTGAGGGCTGACAGATGCCATCTTGGGTCCCCTGAGTTCCCTCCATCAGTGCCTGCC